AGAGGTTTGAGAAGTAAACTGAAGGAGATAATGGGAATTTAGTGATCGCATCACAGCCAATTTAGCTCTAAGGGACAGTACATGAGAGTACTCAAGCCTTCACAACCAGTCAAAATCATGTTACCCCAGGTGGGGAGATTAGTTTTCTGATACAATAATGTTTACTAATTTATCGAAGATAATTGATTTCACATTCCAAAAACATCTTCAGAATCATTTTCTCACACAAAAAGCGGTGTGTTCCTGTAAAAAGAAATCTTGGCTGGACGTGGGCGTAAGCATACGGTCTATTGGTGTTGACAGTTGACTCTAATTTCTCTCGCCACAATCTGTACATTTGAGGACTCATCGCTCTGAAACAAGCAGAGCACTTGAATCACTAATCATGACACAGTCAGATAAATTGTCACAAGTCACACGCATAGTGGAATAGCAAAATAATATCACAGAATAGTGAACCAGATCATATTACTATTTATTTCACAAGGACAAGAAGCTGCTCCTTACGACCCCACCATTTGTAACAACCTGCCTGTCCTCGCGACTGCTATCTGAGTGTGGCCTTCGAGCCAGAAATAATACTGGCGTTTTCAATTTTACGTTATGGATGATGGTGGATAACTTTTTTGTTCGCAATTCAATTCCCGCTGATCTGGGTGACATGGCATCGCGGTGTGGCACATGAGACATGTAGAGAAGTTTATACTACACTGTACGATACTAATGACCACATAGGTGATATACGTGGTTCCTGGTTGATAGTCGGTTAGGATGCATCGAGACAGGGCAGGAGTGTGGCGTATGTAGCGTATTGCGTATTCGTAGAAATAACGTTCGATCGATATGATCTGTTCTATCTATTCGGTATTATTTTGCTATTTCGCTAGGAGTTGTGATTGTGACAATTTATCTGATGATAGTGATTCAGTGCTTCAGGCGATGAGTCCTTCAGATGTTTTTTCAGATTGTGGCGAAAACTAGATGCAACTTCAACAGCTGCCTCTAGGCTCACCAAGATTTCTTTCTTTACAGGAACACCACCGCTTTTTGTGAAAAAATGATTCGAAGATGTTTTGGACATGTGAATCAATTATTTGATAAATTAGAAAACATTTATCGTATCAGAAACTAATCTCCCCACGCTGGGTACATGATTTTGACGGTGGTGGGCCTTGGATACTTCAATGACGCCTTAGAAGCTATGCCGGCAGTAAGCATAGCTCTGCGTAGGGCTCCATTGCCTGAAGAGGGTCGTCGAAGAAAGTACTCCAGAGGGGGACTTAACGGCAAAAGAGCCACCCTTCAAGAAGTGGACATCAACGGCAGTTTCGGTGAAGACTCCTAAAACACGGGTCCGCCGACCGTCATCTGGCCTCAGGTTTTTGAGGGTGGAGAAGGATTTTTGAAAGGTTTCCTCCCTTACCGCAATACTGCGGCGATGGTGTGACGGTTAGCTTACGGACTGTTTATACCAAACTGTGGGGTTTAAATCAATCAAAGCCAGGATTTTTAGGGCGACAAATCCTTCGTATGCCTTCTTCGAGGGAAGTAAAGGCCGGCTGTCCGATGCTAAGTAGATTTACTTGCATGTAAAAGATCCTCAGCTAAATGACGCTCTGAGCTCAATTCATATCACCTGTTTCTCGCCAATAAAACCTCCCTTTTCTGCTAGATGAAAGAGCGTAGCGAAATTTGCGTGTCAGACGGAAAGAGCGGGCCTGATGCGCGATCTCGCCACGTAAATAAAGGCAATTCAATTCACTTCAATAATATCAGAACTCTGAAATGGATACAAGCAATGGAGGGGACGCTGCTGTCAAGAGGACAATTCTTCTAGACAAGGCGGAATTATGGAGCATTTTTCTGGAAGAAAAGACAAGAATAAATTCGACTTGGTCAAGCCACGTTTCAATATCTATTATTGACTACATTTTTCACATAGAAAGATGTTCTTCATTAATTTAAAGCTGTACAATCTACAGCGGATGTGACTTCAGTTTGGGAGAACATTTTTTAGTTTCTCCAAATAATTTCCTGTTGGCTCCAAGAAGGAGACAGGGTCGAATGTAAAAACCTAATTTGGACAACACGTCACCTTAGATAAAAATTAAAACTCCTCAACGACGTAAGTATACGGAAGCTATACCAAAATAGACAGATTGGCCTAGTATCTACCACTTCCACATCGGAAAAAAGTAGAAGAAGAATTGCAATAATAATAAAGCGTGTCTAGAATAGCGGGGAAATGAAGCTTCGGTAAACAAAATATCTAAGAAGAAGGATGGATCTCAGAATATGAACGAAGACATAGAGAGGCATAACAGAAAAGAAAATTGCTAAAAGACATTGCTACAGGAAAAAACAGAATGCTTTTGGAAATATATTAAAAGCAAAACCTAACACTGCAGAACTGTCGTCAGGAATTCCACACAGATAAAAGCTGGGTAAACTTCAATAAACAGAGAGAACATTGAGTTTGTTGAATTATTTTCCTTACACAACTTCTTCCTAATTGAACAGCTCAAGAAAGAGATTACTGCCAGAATTATACAATTGATGAAGATAAGTGGGTAACAACATAATGTTAGAATTGTGGTATGAATACAAATGACATTTAATATATCAAATTTAAGATAACTGAAAGTATAGAATGAACACGCATGCATGAACGAAATGGGAACAACACTGACAAAAATGAAGAATAGATCAGCAGCAAGAACGGAGGTGCAGAATGCAGAACTATTTAAATATAGTAGCTTTTTCTTTAAACTTAAGCTGTTATATTTCCTGAACACATGCTGGAAAAATTCCATAAACCTAGATGACGGCAGAAGTTACCCCCATTCTTAAGAAAGGAAATCAAAGTGAACCTGGAAACTTTCAAGGAACCAGTGTTCTTAATACATGTTAAAGGTATATACCAGAATCCTACACAATATATTACAAACTATTAGTGAAGGACACCTATTAAATGAACAACAATGATTCTGACAAGGTGTGTTATGATAACATCTTTCTCGTGCTCTGATAACATCTTTATTCTGAGACAATTGAAGAAAGAAAGAAATATAATTTGGAAACCCATCATAGACATTGAGAAAGCTTTTGAGAGAGTGGTAAAAAGAAAGCTATGGCAAATATTAGAGATAAGAGGGTATCCCAAGCAAATAATAGCAATTCTAAAGTCATTACATAATGGAACAGAGGATAAGTATGGATCACTTAAAGAGCAAAATATTTTTAGTAAATCAAGCAGTGTAACAGGGGGGCAGTTTGTCCCCAACACTTTTAAATATGTACTTAGACAACACTCTTAGAGTTAGGAAGAGAGAATGTTCAGATGGAATCTATTTGGGACATAGGAATTATTTAAATACTCCTATTTGCAGACAACCAGGTTTTAATAGCTGGAAATGAAAACGAAATCCAGAAAAATATTCATTTATTGAGTAATATCTTGGACGATTGCAAAACCTCTATAAAAAGCAAAAAGTAATGGCTTTCCAACGCAAATCAAAAATATCAGATCAGATCAAAAATTTGTATTTACAATTCAACGTTGAAACAAATAAGACATTTAAACTACCTAGGCTGTGATCTGAGCTACAATTACGAGAAATACATCCATATCAAACTCTGTCGGTTCCAACAAATGTGAGGCACCATATGACTGATGCTCTCGAAGAAGACAAGAAGAGAGATACAACTAAAAATGTACAAAGTAATGGCAGTATCAGCTTTACTGTACAGGAGTGAGTCATGGGTATTGACAAGAAAGAAAAGTAGTAATATACAAGCATCCGAGGGGAGATTTCTAAGAGCAATAAAAGGCTGTAGTCTCCTAGAGCAGTTCAGAAACGAAAACATCGGAAAAAACACCACCACTTCCTCCATATTAGACAACATAAAGGATAAACGTTCAACATTCTAACACTCCTTCAAAACATGGAAGATTATAGGCTTTCGAAAGTGGCCTACCATTATCAACCAGTTGGAAAAAGAGATCCTGGTCGACCAAGAAAACAATGGAGTGAATCCTGAAATGACGGCGACAAGTACAACTCAGGTTTGTAAAATCCACATTATTTAAGGCTCCATTGTTGTGCCTGGGGCTTAATTTTAAAAATCTTTGTTTGCATGTATCAGTATTTGTTCTAATATAATATCAATAATAAAAAAAATTGGAAATAGTTGGACCACCATTCATTGCATAATTGGTAAGTTAAGGCATTAGAGTGTGCAGCATTTTAAATAAGATGGACGAGAGCAAAGTTGATGTATTATGGAATGTTTCCAGTGATGTGTGTAGCAACAAATCAGGGGGGATGTAACTGAACCCAGGAGCGATTTATTTATTAATTTACTTTTTAAAAAAATCTTTACTTTTCGGAAAAAAATATGCAGCTTATACACAAGCATATACAGTGTTTCCATTGTACAGCAATTTTGTTAAGTTCAACATTACAATTCCTATACAGAATATAATAACTGATGTTGAAAATACATTGGTAGTATTATCATCATTTAAAATGAATGTGACATAGGACTATCTGAAGACAAACCCTTCATCAGTTTTAAATGCTTACCTCAAAATGTTTTTGATCCAAAAGCCAGAATGCCTGGGTAACTTTTATAATACTTGGTGTCATATAGAAAGCGCATGGAAATTTCACAAAATACTCAATTGTTCGACTATACCTGAAATATATTCCAAAATGATTTTATCATTAATACAAATATTTTTCTCAAAATCCAGTACAAAAATTTAAAACTGACAAAGACTTACCTATCAGGATCAAGAAGAGTTGCCAAATCCAAGAAAACATAAATAACTATGGAATTTTTGGTCTGTGTATCAATTCCATCTAATAAATACATAGCTAATAAACTTTGGATAGAAGGAGGAGGAAACATCCCAGAACCTCCATCACTTATCCATAAATTAGCTAATTCAGGACCATTACTTTCATTTTGAAGTAATTGATCAATGTACAGGGAAGCTTTCGTGTCATTTTTTAAATTCAAATTTTTGAATTCAATTCTCCTGAGAAAAAAATTATTTTTTTTTGCAGTTGCAATATATCAAAATGTGCTTTTCATACCTGTAAATTGTCTGTAAATTTCACTGGGCAAATTTCATGGTATAATTTCAATTTTGAGATATAATGAAGCATTTCCTTGAAGAATGTAGTATTTTCCAGGAAGTGCATGCTTATGTGAATCACAAAAAATAACTGAACTGAAGGGAGAAACAACAACACAGGTTTAAAATTTTACACTTCAGGAAGATAACTGCCTTCATAGAGAGAAACACTTCCGTGTGTAACTTGTTTTCCCTTTTATACTACTTACAAAGAAAATTACCGTATTTACCCGAATATAAGACGAAATTTTTTTTTGAAATTTCTCAGTCGAAAAATGGAGGGTCGTCTTATATTTGCAGATTAAGCCTAGTTGGTTAGGATTCAAGTTCTTACATTGCCATTCCATATCACAAAACTTGTAAATGTTCACATAACAAACTGCGAAGATGGTAAAAATATCACGAGTAACAATACATCATTATATTAGCATTCTTATTATCAGCATCCACTGCAAATTTGTGGGGCACATTTTTGAATGAGCCAGTTAAGAGCATCTCTAACCAAATGGCATTGTATCAAATGAAATGAAACTTGAAAATTAATGCAGAGAGTTTGTCAATGCGTGTTCGATGAGGCTGTATGGAATCTTGGTTCGACATCCGACTAATATGAATCTGAGTTTTGACCAAAAACGGAGGCCATCAACAAATCCGGGACGAATAGAAAATATGGCGACAGAAGGGAATGTTCTTAGATGGCATCTGATAAAAGACTATGAACAACGCAAAATTTAGCCTAAAAAGTCAGGAAATGTCACAACACAGGAGAACCAAAGCAAAAAATATATGATACATGTGAAGATGATGAAGGTAGTGACAAAAACTATGATTATGATATAACTAGTTATAAATAGTAAGAATTAGTAAAACAAATTTCATTTTTCTCAGGATGCCTCTTCAAAATTAGGCGGTCGTCTTATATTCAGGTAAATACAGTAGTTTTAAATTCATTAATTATTTTTAATTTAATAAGATATAATATTTGAAAACCATTATTTAATAGACTTAATGAAAACTCCAAATCCATGACTTACAAAATTATGTTTAAAGCAAAATTATCTGTCAAGATAATATTTTCAAATATGTCACCATAATCAAGAGAAAAATTAAAACAAACTTATTCATTACCTGTTTGAATAAAACTTTGTGAGAACTGATGCTGGATATGGAATTTTGTCATTGGATGTTTCATTGTCAAACTCCTCTGGAAATTCTGGCAATAATCCTACATTAAGAAACCATAATAGGACTTCAAAATATAATGCAATTAAGTTCAGATTGTTTGTTTTCTGTTTGAAATCTTCCAAATCTGCACCAATACAACAGAAAAGAAATATTAATAAATATGGTTCACAATAGAGATGCAAGTTTGTCTTTTTCAATCAATTGTGGTGGTAGCGTAATTTCACACTCACTTAATAAATTGAGGAGTCTGCAATCGTTGAGAATACCCTCAAACAAAGTTGCAAGCTGACGTAATTGACTAGCACAATTATCAAGAAGGCGGCACTCATTTTTGTCTAATTGGATACCAGTATGATCAAACAAGTGAATACCTAAAACACAAAAAGTATCCAATTAGCCTTCAAGAATTACAGAGTGATCAGCAATGAGATTTCCGTGAATTTAAGTCACCCCTGATTTTCCAGGTTCTCATTGTACAAAGATTCACTACCACCTAAGTAAATTTAAGAACGTTCTTGATCATGGGATTTTGTCACAATTAAATTCAAAACATTAAAATATTTCAGTTTGCCAACTTTTAGACATTATTTTCCCATGATTCTTTGGTCTACGGTAGAGCCGTGCAAAATGGACCCCCATTACACGATTGAGTAGTATTGAAAAAGAGACTATAAATAATGTAATTCTTTTATGAGAAAGTAAATAATCCAAAACATCAATAAACTGAAATGTTTTAATATTTTGAATTTAAAAGATCAAATGATTCATGATTCAGAACATTCTTCAATTTTCCAATTTGTTGTGCAAATTACTCTTTAGCATTTGTTATTTACTCTCGTGTTCCTCCCAACCTTCTTCTCTTTCAAGTGAAGTGAAAGTGAAATTTTTTCTCGAATCCTTGTTAAGGATAAAAGTTTTTGCTGTATACAGCAAGAGTCTGAGATTTGCTACCATGGTAACCTTAGAATATCTTGGTAAGATTTTTTCATAGACGCTTGAAGAGTATAAGTAAAAGAATTGTATTTAGCTTGAGACTGAAATTCACCATCATTGAATCCCTATATCCCAGTCAGATTCAGCAACAGATTTCGCTGAGCTATCTCACTTGTTATTTCATCTTGAGGGTTAATTTTAATCACTTGTTCCTCAAATGTCATTGTTTTTATCAATCACAAGACCAAATTAACTGATTTATGTGTAATCTATTGTACTTACAGAGACTATCTGCAGTTTGTTGCAACACCATAGCTCGTTGATAACCCCAGCTTAAAAGCATGGGTAACGAACAATCCACACCACTGACAGAACCATTCGCCCAATCTGAGGCACACCGATGTAGAAAACCTAACATTTGATTTTCAAGTGCAACAGACAATAGGAATTCTCTTTGAGTAACCTGTTGAAAAAAATAATTGGAAAAACTGTAACATTTCTTTATCAAAATTTATTCACAATTCTGATCTATCTGAAGCAGATTGTAATTTTCCCAACTATAATGTGTACTCACAGCTGGTACATCACTGGAACCATTGATATCCACCAAAACTGGTTTCAAACCAACCATTACACAGTGTTTGAACAAATTAAGAGGACGTAGTAGACAAATAGGACCTTCTTTTTCCATATACAGCAGTAGATAACGTTGTAATCCAGGATGCGATAGAGACACAATTTTGTCTTCCAGTAAACAATGTGAAACTGAAAAAAATTAAATTTTAATATTCATTAAAAACAACCTTACAAAATAATAATAATAATAACAATAATAATAATAATAATAATTTTGGACTAGTGGACTGAACTAAGCAAGAAATTCAAATTGTGTATTGAAAACCCAGAAAACTGCTTACAATGCATTGTGCCGCACTCCCTTGAGCTGATGTTTATAGACTTTATGTGTCACATAAGAAAGGAGGAAGAGGCCTCAGAAAATATTGAAGCCTCTCGGCACAATGCTACAGTCAGATGGGAAAGTACGCAGTATTGGGAACTGCCCTCATTTTGCGCAAAGTATTGTCTAAAGCAGTCCTTAGATCTGCTCCTTAGGAAGCTGAATGCAACCTGGAGTAGACTTTATAATCAACCCAACTGATAACATATTTAGTAGTGAATTAGAGGAAAAATAAAAAAAAATATAATAATAATATTAATAATAATGTACTTAGCATATCAATAATGGTGAATGTGTATATAGAATTCCCGAGCACAAGTTAATACTTTTAAATAATTCACTTATTAACAAGAGGTTATACTAATAATAAAGCACAGATTCAAAATATATGATGTATATAAATTACCAAATGAAAGAGCTGAAGGATGAAAATGCTCTTCTTGAGGTTGGAAGGATTTAAATTGGGATAGATTTTGTGGATCAACTCTTATATCCAACAATGGGGTTTCGATTTGTGATACTTCTTTTTGTCTGATACAGTTCAAAGAAAAAGTCACCAAGTATCCTAAATTTTCATCTTCTGAATCTGTTACTCGTACAGGCATCTGATCCTTGTACCACTGATTCAAGTCAAATAATGAAAGGTACGTTGAAATAGGTTTATTCTCAGAATCATATGTTTCCCAAACAAAAATACATAGGCTGAAATCATTTTCAGAAGTCCCTGAAACACAATGCAAGTACTTGAATTAAATTTCGCAAGTAGCTAAGCAACCTCATTGAATCTATAAAACGAATAAATTTGTACCTTCATCGCATCCATCTTCTTGAATGCTTTTCTGAGAGGCAACATTACTCAGAGAATTAAATGAAATACAAGTCACACTGTCAACTTCTTCAGTTGACTCCACTTCCAAATTGTATTCAAAACGAAAATGGCAAGACTGATAATCCTGCAAAATAAAATGCATTGCATTTAATCTCATTCAGTGACATTTAAAGTGAAACACTACTACAAATAAAAATATGTTTTGAAAATATTTTTCTCATATATCGCCTCTCCTTTTCCTGATAATACTTACTTGATAAAGATACCCATAGCCATCAACCCATTCCTTAGATTCATATGATAAAGCGTACATGATTCCTACTGGTGGGCTGGAAGAGGGAAATTCATCTGTGCTACTGTGCACAGCCCATAAATAGCAAAAGTTACAGGGATCATCAGATGGTTCTTGAAATCCTAAATGCATCACAGGCAATGGGTCTTTCATTAAGCGACTGGTATAACTGGAAAACAATAAAACCATTTTAAACATAGACATTCGAATCTTGAGCTTTGGTGCGACAGTTTAGGGCAACATACAAAGAGTATTTTATTAAGTCATGCAAAGTTTAAAATGCAATGAAAATAAAATACCTCCAAGAAATAAAAATATAACAAGTACAAAAATGTGATATTTAACTTCATGACAAAACTGGAAGTGTCACAACAGCACCAACTTCCTTGCATTATTTGTAACTTAGGAGAAAATTCTGTATCCTTTTGCAATATTCAAAAATTCAGAGAGTTCACTAACAACAACAAAAAGACCTGCTCAAAAAAAGATCATTTTTTAAGTGTCTATTGCTGTATCCGAGGAAAAAAATTAATTAAAAAATTTGGGAATATTTTTAATAAAATTTTACTGTTTTTAAGGATTTATGTAGAGTGCTGCTAATAATCAAAATATTCAGTTCAAACTCTCAGAGCCTGAAGTATGGCAGACAGACATTTTGCTATCAACCAATTTTTCTGAATAATGGAACCATAATAAGTTGATTCTGATTACACAAGTGTTACAGGAAGAATTTACTACTTATATGTAAGAACAAGAATCCACTTTTTCAATATCATGGCCTCACAAAGTGTTTTTTTTCCCAGATGAAATATTGCTGTCAGAGTTGGACAAAACTGCATTCAGTCTCACTCGTATCCCACCCAATCTGCGAGTCATTCTCACTGGCTCAAAAAAGGAAAAGGGTCTTGGAAAGGGAACTGCCTAGTCAAGGCCAAGAGAGTGCACTGGCAAAAGAGATTCTCTTTCTCTTTAGGAGGCAAAGAGAGCCATGAATCACAAGATTCCATATCTCATAGGGACAGAGTATTTCCTGTAAGCAATTCAAGCCAGCCAGAAGACATAATTAAAACTGATGAGGGTAGAGTAAGGATTTTCTCCTAATTAATTGATTTAAATAAAAATACAATAATTCCTCGGTAGCGAAATAAACAAACATGTCTTTACACTTTCATAATATTAAAATAGTACATATTGTCAGTACACAAGAAAAGTAAAAATAAATAATTAAATAAATAAAAGCTGAGATAGCTCACTGCAACAACTGTATTAAAGTCTATTCGTTTCATCATCAATGTTTTGTGCTTGGGTGTTTACATTTTTGGTGTTTTGTTTGTAAATGAAAATAATTACAATTTTTTAAAAGTAAAAAGTATTTTGTAAATATGAAATAGTAATGGATGATTCTATTGAAGATAACCTTTTCTTAGTGTCCTTCAACAATCTATTTCCCATCTGAGCTAAGAGATGACCTACTCCTATCTTCGTATTTCACACATGGAGAGGATGTCAACACATGCACTGTGCAGTAGGTTTCTTCCTGACCCTCCTAAGGCGAACCGAGAAAGCTCTGACACCTAGAGATGATCCCGAGCATACAGGACTTCATGCCCAGTTTTATTAAATATGCATCCTTTACTTAGTTTCACAATTCAATATTATTTATACATTAATAAACAGGGATACAATTAAAATGTTAATTTCCTAGTTCATACTAACTGGGTGAAGCATTTGTTTAATCTATTTTGACATTAGTTGCCAACTTTGAGAAAATGCGTAATAAAGTATTATTCTTATTATTTATATTATTGTTGTTATTATTATTGTTCTTGTGGTATAAGACGGGGGCAGTGACAGTCGGCAGGCAGCAGCCACCGTCGCCAGAAGTCTTGCCAAAAATAGAATAACACAGAATACACAGAGAATAAAATAATACACTTTTTTCCTGTCTGAAATTACATTAGAAGAAAGTAATTTACTAATTAAAGGGATGGACAGTAATACAGCTCCAGGAATTGACTAAATAGCTATAAAAGATATAAAACTGAACACTGACTCAATAGCACCAATTATAATTGTCATTAAAATGTCAATTATCAACTTAAGCATTAATGAGCGAATACTTCCAGATAAGTGGATAGTATCAATAGTCAGACCTATTCATCAGGGGAAAGTTTTTGAATAGATGAAAACTACAGGGCAATACAATAAGTAAAGTATTTGAAAAATTCGTATTACAAAATTAACCAGCCTCCTGAAAAAATATCAAATAATAGACTGAAATCAATTTGCATATCAAAAAATTATACTAAACCATAGACTCATTGGAAAACTTGGTAGAAGTAATTAATAAAAAAATTACACAAGAGATTGCATGTAATAGCATTAAGCATTACTAGTCAAAAACGTATCATGTGATTGACCATTATAAAATGTTAGATGCACAGGAAAGCTTAGGAGTAAGAGGTAATGTTTTAGTTATTCAAAAACTATTTACGAGGGAGATCAATTAAGAGTCAAAATACAGAAAACATGGTGAAACAAAAACTGTGAAAAGGGAATTCCACAAGGAAGTTTCTCTGGGCCAATCCTCTACCTAATATAAGTGATTGACTAAAAAAAATTACCTAGAAAATGGTTCCTATTACATATATGCAGATGTCAAGATGCTATTATTCATAAACAAATACCAAAAGAAGACAGAAAAAAAGATAGAGGAAATATTTGGGATATTCCAAAAATGGGGCCATTATTAACGAGAAAAAGACTAAAATTTTGCATATTACAGCACCAAAAATTAAAAGAACACAAGATAAAGTACTCTTTCGCAAAGATAACTGTATACACAAAAGCTTTAAGAACTGTCAATGTAACTGTATAATTAATCCTGTATGTAAATTGAAGTATTTGGGCGTAACTTTTGATCAGAATCTGAGCTGGAGAGGGCAGATTTTGGATTTAAGCAAGAAATTAAGAACATGTGTGTGGAAACTAATGAGAATTATAAATTTCGTATCTTATAAAATTTTCAAATTAGTCTACTTTTCATTACTACTGTCTCTGATCAGATAGGGAATTAAAGTATGCATCAAAAACCCATGTAGGTCTTAATCAAAATTTGCAGAACAAATGCATTAAAATCTCAATGAAAGAATGAACATAAACCTAACCCTGGAAGAGAGTACAGCGGTGCATTGAATCATGACAATTACAAAATTACATGAATTTCAAATTTTACAAAGAAATTTGTTTAATGAGGAATATAGAAAAAATTGAATATAGAAATAGAGAAATATAGAAAAAGAAAGTGATCACAATTATGAAACTAGAAAGAAACACCATTTCATACAGCCAGGGACTTTTAATAAATTTGGAGAAAGAATACTTAAAACAGCTATTCCAAAACCGCTCAACTCACTGCCGGATGAAATGATAGAAGTTACATACAAAAGAGAATTAAAATGAAATTAAAAGACTGATTTTCTAGACAAAACAAAAAATAGAGAACAAGACTTAGTTTCAACACAAGAAAGCGTTTCTTAATTAATATTAAGAAATGTATACAAACATTATTAATAATATTAATCTCTTATTTAATTTCACATTTTTATGTTTTAATTAAAATCAACATTTAAATAAATAAATGAATTAACAAAGGAAATAAAAATGACACAATAAAGATAAATTTACATAAATTGAATGCCATTTAATCTAAAATTTTAAATCTAATTAATATTAATGTTTTAAAATATTTATTAATATTAATTAATACTATATAGTGTTAATATTGTTTCTTAATTACATTTTTAAAATAATATGTGGGTGTAAATTAAATATGTTTCAATTATTTTGATTAAACATTTTGCTTCTGTTTCCTCACCTACGAATATTTAAATTAACTGTTAATATGTCTTTTAGCATTCAAAAGTCAATTTTAAATAGTTTTAGTTATAAATATTGTACAGAATTGCAAAGCAAATTGTGCAATTATTTTTATGAATGTTAGCGATAAGCGATTAATTTACGCAAATAATCTAATTTTGTGATCAACACAAAATCATGCAAAAGGGATGGGATGCATGAGATGCATTGAACGACTCATTTATGGGTAAGAAGTCACCTTTCTCCATTCATTGCTACTAGAAAGGACAAAATCTATACTGAGAAATTCAATAAATTTTTAACGCAGTATCACTTATCACCAAGCACTATGCTTGGATATAAGGTCGAAGGTCAACATATGAGTTCGTATTGATGTCTGAAGACCGTTGGCAGGGCACTCGGTCTGAGGGCCTTGGCTACGAGATTAACGAGTCGCCTTGCTCTCCAGAATGGTACTTGTTGCATAAGATCCCATTTTTATTCAACCTTTCTCGCTTATCAGAATGAGGAAGAATATTTAGCAAATGACCGCCTTTAATTGCTGGCTTCCCCCCTCTGCAATTTTACAACACTTTCTTAAGTAGTGGGCAAGAAAATAAAAAAGTTTAGTTGATAAGTAGAATTGTATCACTGACACTAATGTGTCAATTTTGGAAAGTAATGATTACAATTCTGAATAAGGTTTAGAGAGTGGTGTTTTGGTATAATTTTTCTTTTTAAATGTTTCACCCAAAAAACAGTTGTTAGTGAATATATGCAGTGTCCAACTGAGATGTTCAGAACAATACGTGATTGTGAAGAGTTTAATATTATCTCTTAGAACATAAAAATAAAACTTTATTAACAGGAATGTTACAAGTTTTCTGAATCTAAAATTAAATCATTATTGTATTCATTATAAAGATTGCAAAATTAATGAATGACTGTAAAGAAAAATAGATAAGAAAAAGTTATAAAAAATTTGTGATCTTATTCCTTCACCAACCCCAGGCGCAAGGTGACTCTTTGACGCTTGAGATCAGAGAAGAAAAGCAAATTACAACAAATAAGAACTAAAGGGATTGAGGATACACTCTGATTTGAATGTGTATTTGGTTGCACCCTGTTCTACATTTTGTAACAATGGCCTCTTTTAATTTTTGCATTTGTTAGTGTCTGTAAGTGTGACAAGTTTAAATATTCTTCCAGACCATAATATTCTGACCAAATAGAGAGTGAAAATAACCAAGTAATGAATATTAGTTTCGGTAAGAAGAATTTGTCAAGATCATTTGATTTGCAAGAGATATGAAAGAGTCTTTTTAGAAGCTAAAGCAGGCAGTTTCAGAAGAAATTGCTCACTATGTGCCATTTCGATAACTCTACTCTAAATCAGTTTCATTAACTTCTGTGAATTCGATTAGTTTCTCTCTTTTTTCCTAACAAATTGTTTTTAAACAAAATATTTTTGCATCACATGTATCGTGTCGACTGAAGTTGACACTGAATGTCGACTTATGTTAATTGTGAAAAGTGGCACCCAGACCCTCATCACTAATATGCAGATTTTTAGGCACTATGAACAGTAAAAATAAGCAGGTTCAATAAGAAAATAAAATTTAATATTAGCTATTAACACACCTAGTAATGGTACAAATGTTATTACTGCAAAGGCCAGAAGTTAAAAATCGAGGCTGAGCCGTGATTTTTAATTTGGACAAGGCAACAATAACACTAACATTTTGAGGTATGTTCAGCATTTTATGGGTCATTACAAAATCTCACATTCAAGTAAAATTAATGATGTTACTGTGGTATTTTTATATCAAGTTATCTTCAGTGTTCTTGCATTCAAAAAAGACAACTTGTGCCAAAGTGTGTTCTCAAATATATTAATTCACAATTGCATATGACACAATGAAGATGACATTATAAAAAAATCACTTACAAATTTACAAATTCTGTCAATCTTCCAACAAAGGTATTCAAGGCAAAAACATAATTATAAAAGAGAAAACTTACTTTAAAGACAAATGCATTAGATTCCACAATTGGAAAGAACCAAAACTGTAACCAACAATCAGGCTTGCAATACGTGGAACATACAGAAGTGAAGTAACCCCAATGTTCCTCGCCTTAAAACAAGCACATACATTGCCTCCAGGTTCCAAAAGAAGAAAATTGTCTTGCACAAATGCAGATTCTGAAAGAAAAAGGTAGTAAAATGTGACATTTTCTTTTGATAATTCATTGATACTAAGCCTTATGACAGTAACTGTAAACTCTCTAAAATATGTTATGTCCTGGATACTTTGGAAAAATTCTAAAAAATTTTAGGTGACTGTGCACACATTATACTTCACAAAAATTCAATCAGATCTGGTAATACACAATATTCTGGAAGCATGGAAATGCACAGGACATTAAAATTCAACAGAATTGTAAAGACTATAGCAAAGGTCTTAAATCAGTCTTGAAAATCTATCCTTACCAAGCATGTATATCCACCAAACAATTTAGTAAAGAAAGAACTCCTAAAGATAAATAGTATTTATACATCAATACAACTATACATCAACCAAATTTTAGGCGAACAAATCATCTACACATGAGTTCATCAACAACTTTTCATCAAAAATGGACATACAACCTCTACAGTAAGCTACCAGACAATTTAAAGAATATTAATACAGTAAAAAATGCAATAAACAAACTAGTGAGTATTTCCTAAACATACTTACTACAGAAATGATACTTTAATGACTAAGTATGCCTCAGCCTGCTACTATGTTAATTACTGTAATAACTAGAGCTCAGAAGTTCAGGCATTTATTTCACGTAAAATAGGCAGGAAAAAGGGCATTTATTTTTACTAAAATAGGCATGCAAAAAAGTATTTATTCTGGCAAAAGTAGGGGTGTTAAAAAAAAAAAAAAAATCACAGGAAACAAAAATCCCCTTTTAAAAATAATGATGGTAAAATAATTAATAATTAAAATATTAATATTTTTACTCTAACTTTAAAATTTACATTAGCACTTACGTGGAAGAAAACTATCTTTCTACTTACTTTGTAATCTTCATTGCATGGTAGAATTTGAGAATAGTGATGGTAGAATTTAGCACTTTAAATGTTAAAAAAATCACTTTTAGAACAGAAGGCTATAGCATTATAAAAATTAAAATTGAGTATTATGTAGCATTTATTGATAAAATTATTATTAAGGGAAGACAGTGAGAAAAAATCCATTTTGATAATTTTCAGAATTTCCTATTAAAATCAGGATATAGATACTAATTTAATATTTTGCCATTTGTGAAGTTCGACAAATATAAAAGCATAAAAAGTAATGTGTGCACTGAGTCATTCAGCCTTCCTCTTCATCCTGTTACCTTCTCTAAATAGTGAACCGAGAAGCTGAAGCCCCTTGAAATGACCCTGAGCGCTCAGGCTTTCACGAACCATTAGTTTACAGGTTTTTGTAACTTTTTTTACTTTGTCTTGTCAGTTAATTATAAACTAATGAACATAGCCTCAAATTATGTTTTCAAGCATCGCGGATGAAATCGCATCAAGGATGAGATTTCTCTTGAGTGAACAAGTCAATCATCAATGAAAAATATCAAACATCTTCACTTGTATCCTCTCCCTTTCCCTTTTAGATTTTTATCACAACCTGACATAGAAGCCTCCACATACATAGAAAGGCAAAGACAATACATGACTGTGCCTTCATGTTGTTCAGGCTTGAAGGTACATTTCCCACTTCCTAGAGAATGGTGCCAGGAGAGAAAAAGGGAAAATAATGATGAAAAGGACACAAATCAGGCAAAATGCCAAAAATAGGTATCAGACGCTAAAATATGCCAAATGAAAATCTACTAAAACAACTATAAAGTAAAAATAAGATGATTTCTATTGATAAACGTATTATGCCAACTTCACAAATGAAGATCCACAGCTTCCCGATGCCTAGTTGAGTAATCTGTAAAGGAATCAATAAAATGGGTTCAATAGTTTATGAGAAAACGGGGCATTTGTAAGGGAAAAAAAGTTTTGAGAAAAATTCTTCCAATGTTTCTTTTACTAGGAATTAATCAGTATTTCCATTTAATATTTTATGTAAAAACAACTTGCATCGTATTCTGAATTATGCTTGATATTGCTGATATCTAGAAGCTGTTTTCTCTTCCTTTTCTGGCTTTTTTGGGAGGTAATTTTCTCAGCTGTATTTTCTCTGCATTGTCTCTACAAAGCCGTGGGGGTGGGGGTGACTGGATCAATTCTGGAGTTCAGATTTTTATTACTAAACGTATTTTCCACATTACATCATTACATATATTGTTAATGACAACAGCCTTTATGATTAAATTTATTTCCTTTGTTCACAAGCTATTTAAAACCCTTTTTGGTTTTGTCATTTGAGTCAAACTATTTGACACTTTTTCACACACAAAGATAACCCACCACTTACTCAAAGCGAGAAAATAACATTTAATTAAACTTTAAAAGCTATGAACTGTGAAAAACTGCTTCTGTATTTAAAAACACAGAACAACACACCATCCGAATTGCACAGCCAAACAAAATAATATGAAACTGTGGAAACTACAGCCGTCGAGAATTAATAGTTTCAGAACTATGTCTGTCTGTCTTATTTACAAAAAACAACAATTTGTCAATGAAAAATATGTCAAAATGTACAGAGAAGTCATGAGATTATTATAAGATTAAAAACAAAATTCTATAATTTTCTAATTTTTCGGATGGAATCCCACCTTAACGCAATTGAATATTAGATGTATATTTATGTATAATGTAATATTTAATATCAAGTAATATTCATAAAAAGGCGTGAATAGTAGCAGAACTTCAAATAAATGAAGAAAAAAATACCAAAATTTGAGTAATTGTATTTAGGAGTAGAACTTTGATTCTTAATGGAATGTAAATTGTTTTTTGGCGGTTAATGCTTATTTGAACTGACAACTGATTAATAGCCAGAAATAACTTTTCGTTGAATTGTTGTGTAGCTGCCAACTTAAAACCTACACTGAAAGGCACTTCGCTTGCAATCATTTGTATTTGTATTCTAAGCATAGAAATATAGTAAGTTCTTGGCTTGGTGGCTTGCTATAGGCCACCAAATGAGAAAAAAAAAAAAAACACGATTTTGGAAGCAATTTCTGAAAAAATAGAAAACAAAATGTACATCCTATTGTAGTCGCTGTTGATTTAAATATTCCAGACGCAAATTGGAAAGGCGCTGTGAGAAAAGCGAAAGTACAACAGTCTGTGAACAGACTCGTCTGGGAAGGGGGATTAGCGCAGGTAGTAGATAGACCGACGCGATAGGATGTGCTTCTAGATGTTTACCTAATTAGGTCGCAAGAGCTTTTCTTGTCTTGCGATGTCATTGATGGCATAACGCGACCACAAAGCGGTGTTAGTTGACTTTGACATAAATTTTTCACATAAAAGAATTCCCAACGATACAAAAATCTGCAGTTCAAGAAGACAAACAACAAAGGGCTTCACCACCACCTGAGAGACCAGTATGATCATTTTCTGAGAATAGAAGGGGGATGGAGGAAACTTGGACCGCCTTTAAGAGCATTCTGGATAATGCATTGCAAATGTTTGTCCGCACAAATACTTAAGAGAAATCAGATCCAGAATATTATAATGTGAAAATTCAACGTATGAAGAGAAAAGCTAGAAAAGGTTTCAATTACAGACATCGGCAATAAAATCATAGGATACTTTTTCGTAACTGTTCAAAAGAATTAGAGCGGGAAAAGAAAATTGCGCAGGTGTCTTTTTAAACACATTCTCGACAGTGAGGGATATAATTGGTCAGGGTTTTACAAATATGTTCGCAGAAGAAGAGGAAATAAAGAAGAAATTCCTATCGTGAGAGATACTAACGGGTTAATAATAGATGATCGGGAAAAAGCAAACTTATTTAATACCTACTTCAGTTCCGTTTTTAAAACAAAATCTCACCATACTCAGATATCGAGGAGGCTCTGTACCAATCAGTTTAAAATACGTCAATGCATTGCAAAAAGCGAATTAAATCTAAAAAAATGGAATTCTTCAATCATAATTCTCGTCCGGGGTTCAGATGCCATTTCAACGACATAATTAAACTCAGTGGAGAGGCAATATTACAATATCTAATAAGATTATTTCATATTTCGACCAACATTCAAAGCGTTCCAAAAGATTGGAGCTAGCTACTGTTGTTCCGATTTTTAAGAATGTGACAGAACTGTTTTAGCAATTATAGAGCGGTAAGTCTTACGTCAGTTGAATAGTAAGATAATGGAACATTTGATAACTAGCTATATTTAGACAAGAATGGGAACAATAAGAATGGCTATTTCAGGACAGCATGATTTTAGGAATGTTTTTCTCTGCGAGTAAGATAGTATCATTTTTTCAGGATATAGCAGATGAAATTGATAGTGGGAGGTGGATGCCATAATAATAGATTTTTGCGAAGCATTTGATGTTTCCCACAGGATAAACTAATCATAAATTAATGCATTCGGGTAATTGACACCAGAGTTGTGGCGTGGGTTGACGAGTTTTTTTGGAGATAGAAAACAGAAAAGTCCGAGTTGGACAACAATTTTCAACTCTGGCAGAGGTTACTTAGGGATCCTCAATGAAGCGTTATTGAACCCTCTCTGTTTCTTGCGTTTGTAAACGACCTGCCAGACAATTTATGTTCCAAGGAAAGACTATTACAGATGACTGTATAATATATACAGTTTTCATCAAAAGTAGATGAGGATATTTTGTAGGATGATCTAGATAGCTTACATTTCTGGCAGAAAAAAATAGCATGATAAAAAAGAGTTCAAAAAGCAAAACCATCACGTTTTGTCAAGGGCCTGCAAATATAGTGAAAGTCATACCGTTTAGGCAACAAAATATCCAGAGTCCTGACTCGTAAAAACTAGGAATAATATTTGATAGCAAATTAAATTGGGAAAATCAGGTTAACTTTGTCGTAGGGAAAGCCTGGAGGTTTTTGTATTTTACCATGTGAATACTAAAAAAAGAGTACAGCGAAAGTGAGAGAATTAGCTTACCTATCTTTAGTTCGTCCATTAATGAAATACGGGGCAATTTGGTGGGACCCTAATAGAAATTCACAAAAGGAATATTTGAATAGAGTACAGAGAAGAGAGTGTAAACTTACTTCCCGCAGCGATAGGAAGAAAGTAGAATGGGTGTCTCTAGAAATAAGGAGGGCTAAGGCAAGACTCTGTGCCATGTACAAAGCATATGCCGGTTATCCAGCTTGGAAAGATATTTTCATTCGACTCAATAGACCCACTTACTGTAGCAGAGCGGATCACAAGCACAAAATTCAGTTCAGGCCACAGAGAACAGATGTTGAGAAATTTTCATTCACAAATAGAACAATAACGAACTGGAATAAGTTACCTGCGACAGCCATGGGTCCTTTTCCTCTAGGTGTACAAAGTTTTAAAAGTAGATTAACTAAGGACATTTGTATAAGTGAGGCTTATAAAATAGTTATTATTTTTGTTCTAATTTTATTATAATTGTTATTTTTTATTATTATTATTGTAATAATCACTATTAAATGCATTGGTTTGTTAAATATCCAATTATATTTAAAGCAGTAGTTGAATTGGAGTGTCGTGACGTGTTGTGAAGTGTAGTGCAATAGAGAAGTCAAATGCAAGTGTAGTGAAGTCAAGTGAAGTGTAGTGAAGTGCAGTGTATTTATTACTTAAAAATTCCGTGCAGGACAGTCATAAAGTGTATAGGTAATGCTGTTATTGTTATTATTGTCTTAAAATGCTTTAAAATTACAATGTATTAGTATTCTTAGTTGTAATATGTAAATTGTAGTGTTCTGCCACCAGGTTCTATACCTACCTGCAGAAATAATAAATCCATCTTTATTATTATATGAATTATTTTAAAATATTGTAATGCTAGAGCAAATTAACTTGTCATACAGAAACAAAATTCATGAATAAATAAAATTATTATTATAAATCTCAAAATGGAATACACAACCAGAAAGACTGCATGCAGCAGTGCATGTCAAGATAAAAGTGTACACTTCACCACAATCAAGTCAATTTTCAAAACTTACCATTTAGAAGAAGACACAAATGATCTCCAGACACTGCAGCTGCAGCACATTTTTTTTCCAACTTGTCTGAGACATCATCGTCCTTGTTAATAAGTAGAAGCTGGCATGGATTTATTTCATCATGAACTTCTTCTCTGTCATCATTGAACCAAGTGTTGATTACTAGAATTTGTTAGAATAGATTTGATTTTAACACCAGTCAGTCTTTAATATTTTCATAACTAATTACAGTTCAAAATATAGTACTCACATTCGTCACAAGAAACACGGCATAAATCAGAAAGAAATACACTTCCTCCCTGTAAGCCAACAGCAATAATTCCACTCATTGAACTAAGCAGCCCAGGAAGAGGGTATCGTCCTTCACAACCACTGCTACCACTATCCACAACACTTAATGACAAAGGCTAAAAAAATATAAGGTAATGAGTAAGATTCAAATGAAAGTGGTAACTACGAATTAACATTGTTGCATAAGCATTGTATTCTACAAACCTTTCCTGGAATACGAATGGCTCTCAATAACCTAGAACCTTGTACATCAAAAATGCATATCATTCCACCAATAACCTCGCATTCTAGGCCTAAGACAATCTGTTTTAAATTACTAGCATCATCACAATGTGGAAGTTCCACAGCACATGTCACTTCAGTAACAAATTCAGAACAAGCAGCACCAAATCTCCATCCAGCAATCTTCTCTCCACTTGATACATCTATAATTTTCAAAAATGGGCCCTGACAGAGCCATGCATATTTTGTTCCTACGACAATTAACACACACATAAATGGCATAGAATTAAAAAATATAATGTGAAAAAAATCTTAGAATTAATAATTTATTTATATATTTATTCAATTGTTTACACGCAAATCCTTTACACCGATTGTAGTAAGCAATACACATCAATATCAATTTTGCAATGAGTGATATGCTCTCATGATCTAAAATCTAAAAGAAACTACCAAATAACAAGTACTTAAAGCTAAAAATAAAGATCAACAAATGTTTTGTTTAAAACAGTAGTACAAAATGATTAAACACAACTATGACATGACATTGTTGTAACAGATAAAAGACCTCAATAAATTTTCAGTGATGTGTTCAAGGCAATTATAATATAATATAAACATTCCACTGATATGTTTCTTCAAAATACGTACCCTTTAGTATTCCTCCTTTTACACTATCCCCTCCTTCTGAACTTGTGATATTCCCTTTAGCAATTGTAACTGTGTGAGTAACACCACATGGAGCTTTGTTCACTTTCATGATGAGCAGGATTTCAACTTCAATATCACTATGAAAACTTTAATATCTCGGCACTTAAGACGAAACTTAATAAACTTTACACTATTGGACTATTAGACATATCCCATGCCCCACTACACATTACAGAATGGAATCGCACAACAGATTATATCTGGAGGCTTTTTTTTAAAAAGTTATCATGCTTCGTTAACTACAACTCACAATCGACCTCGAGTACCCTGTGAATTTCAAATTTAGACATCGCTAACTTGCTATGATAACCCCCACATTTTCCACCACCACCCGCTTCTACCGCGCAGCTTGCAATGTTGCAATGCAAGTTGCAATCACAGAACATTTATGTTTATAAAAAATATATACAGTACGATTTATTTAGTTAAGCACTTGACAACACGTATCAGCTGTTGCGGTTTCATCCAATCGGGAACTTATATGTCGTTACAGTTACGTCACTATGGGAACGTTCAAGCTTGCTATTGGATAAAATAATGAAAAGGAGATGTACATCAAATGCATAATTAAATAAATCCTAGTACACATGGATGACTTTTATACTGGGATTTTTATTTCTTGGCACGTGAGGGCATTTCTTCACAAAAGAATATCTCACGGCATTTTGCGACGTTTTCGGTATCTCTGCGGTCCTAGCGGCGAGACCGAGAAAGACGCGAAATTACGAGTTGCATAGATTTTGTAATGAAACCCATGAGTCGCCAGTCTTGTATTCACGTGTCTTAATTCCTGATGTGTTTCTGTCCATTTTCTTTCCATCATGGTATCTGTTGAGTAAATTTCTGGCCATATTTCTCTTTTTTTTTCTTCTAGCACTTGTGTACTTTGCTTTTGGATGGTAGTAGTAATTGGTATCGTAAGTCATCATGTCCTCTCTGACAGTGGCGGCTCTGTGGTTAGGCATCAGGGAGGGCACACAAAGTTACAGGATCAAATAAAGTTAGGCATTTGAAATATTGTTATATTTGGATTGTTTAAGTTACATAAGTCAAATTTACAATCGAATTTTCTCCTCGGAAGACAGGCTAAACACATGATCTATAAATTAAATTGAGTCTTCTGTTTTTACATTCTGTATATCTACGACTAATTATTTAAAATTAAATGAGTCTCGTAACAAAACTCTTTATAATGAAAACATACATAGTCCATTCAATATCTCTTCCGACATAGTATTTCTTAAAAATGTCTATAATCCTTTCAAAGTGGAAAAAGCTCTCTCGGATTCTTTTATATAGCATATCCAGCTCAGATTTCAGTTTGCTTGCTCACGAACGGAGAGAACTGTGAAACGCGATCAACCCTTTGAAGGGGGAACATACACCACACAGGGGGTACAACTACATTGACTGTTTTCAGGCATTTTATAGAATTGCAACCCATTCTCGATCTCAATGCACACGAACTGGACGCAAAGATGGGAAAAAGCATTCACACAGTTTGTCTACGGATCGGAAAGATGATGCCGACCATGCCGATTACACATTACTGCCTGCACTGAATGCTTGCGAAAAGGGAAATCAGTCATACAGAATACCAGCCAATAGCACTGGCCTAGACGCAAATCAGGCGAAAAGAATATTGGAAGTTTAAAAATTGATCAATAGATAGCGCTGGGGAACGAGGTTGCTACCTCCCCTGTCAGGCTGCTGGGCGGCGGCCGTCACAAGACGCCATTTGCCCGTCATACGGTTGCCGATCAACGTTGCCATTCCGAGCACTCGTTGTCGGCATTTTATGTCAGTACGTTCCATAACAACACTGCGTTTAGGACACAGAGGCGAGTGTCCGCAACCATGAAAATCGTTCTACGGAACAAGCGGGAGTTTGAAACCTAGAGATGCGTTCGATTCGAAAACAACTCTACAGACCCCCAGATATTATTTTAGACAGTGCAAGAGAAGAAATACTGATCTCAGTAGAGGGCAGTGTCCTAGCGCCTCCTGCCGGCGGCCCACTGCTCTCTGGTCAGTTCATATACTAATCTTGATATTTTCGTTCTTTGGAAGACGGGTCACTCTTCAGTGTATCTTGCCTAGTTCTCTGTATGGACCTTAGATCAGCTATAGATAGTTTCCCCATATTAATTGTATACCGTATATATGATTGGACTCAGAGAGTATATATTGGACTAATGACTGCATGAAATATTTTGATTGCTGATTCAAATGACAGTTTGGGGATATGTTTTATTGAGTACATGACTCTAATCGCCGTTGCTACTTTTTCTCTGATATGAATTTTGGAAGAGCTGCGTGTTGTCTGAAATGTTAATCCTAAATATCTGTAAACTTGAGCTATTCGAAATATTTGATCTTGAATTTTTATTTTCTCACTTGTTCAATTTTTCCTCCTTTCCGGAGGTCAATATAAAAATGTAAGTCATATCGAAGCTTCTTAGTAGATGAATGTTCCCTCTCCGTACACGCTAGTGATTTTGTAGTGCGGCTGTGTTTAAATCGAAATATTAATATAGATCCCTGAAGGCTTTCGGTGACACAAACGCAATTGTGTACTTTTGGAACTGTTAAGAATGGCTCCGACCAGAGTGTATGGCTATAGTGTGACGTCACGGATACTCACAGCGACCACAGACACAGAGCTTTCATATAACAAATATATTTATTAACAAATAAACAAAACAAATATATACACTTAAAAATCTACTTACACCTAGCTCTGGTAGACCTACTATCCCCTGATCGCGGGAGCGATCCAAACCCGATTGAAGATGTTTTTGATTATGCATTCGCCACTCCTACTTTGAAGCGCGCACAAAGCCTAGCTTCTGTGACCGGATGTCACGCTGGACACAAAGTCCGTTCTGGCGCACCAACGGCTGGTTTGCCTCGATCGCAGGAGCGATCTTATCCGATTGAGAATCGGCGTGAATCGTGGCACTCACCACTCTTCACCTCGGAGCGCGCACACAGCATCGCTCCCCGTGACCGCAGTCACCCAAGGACATAGTCCGCAGGCTTCGTCAACTAGTGACCGAGCCTCGCGAGCCTGGCTCGCATATGCACCGTCGTGGCGCCAAGTTTTGTGCACACGCACGAGGTTCTCCCACTGTCTCCAGAACCCACCACTGGCTCTGTACACTCTGTTATATAGGCGAGGCCCACGTGACCTACGTCACGCCACCTCTCGCGTGTTAAACAGTGAAAAGTTTCTATAAGCCGGAAGACGCCAAAGCCTTGTGTCTCCGTTTCCGCGTTCTGCTTTACGGAAAAACCCTTCTTCCTGTGGTGAGGCTAATCCTCTACCAAGCGTCCCCAAATAGATGCCACGAGGCACCGCTGGCTAATACGTTACAATAGATTCTATTAAAGATATAGATTATCATATTATGTCAGGAGCCGGCAAGAAAATTCACGTATAAGTCCAAACCATGCTAATATGCTAAAAGCCTCAGCACACCAGCCGCTTCTTGTTTACCTAAAAGTTCGTTACTCACAAATCTCCCCGACCATTCCTCGATCGGCTGCATGCAAATATACGGATATCGCATTACAAATGCACACTTTCAACTTCCAGCTTTCAAATAAAGTATTTAGGCCTATTGATTACTTCATTAGTAAGACTAGCAATATCTTACGATCACTGTACAAAATATTCATAAATTAGTAAATGATCGTTATTAAATGTACTGCGCGCTGTCGTCACACGCAAGGAAACTGCCTCCTGCAAATCTCGCTTAATATATTTTTTGAAGATCACAATAAATGGCTCTTCTATCGATAACCTTCAGGTTCTATTTAAAACGTTAGAGACTAATTTATTTAATAACAATCAAGAACACCCATGCAATTATTTCAGATCTTAAAAATTGTTAAATAAATATTAACATATTACTTCGTAATATTTCTGACGATAATTAAATTTATAATTTACCTAGGCTACCTAAGCAATTAAGTTCTTCTCAAATTAGACACAATTTTAAAAACATTTAAAACACAATAGCACAATATTCTTTTATCAATAAGAACACACTGGCTCAAGTATTGGAAATGATTAACGTCAGACAGCTTGGGATGTTTCCTCTCTTCGATATTGTAACACTCTGCAATCAAGACGTGATATATTTCTCAGAAACGTATTGGAAATCAGATGTCTGATTGTTGATTTTTTATTTTCCGTTATAGGTAAAGTTAATAAGTATAATTAATAATAATAATAATAATAATATTTTATTGAGTCACATATACAATTAGCAATCGTATATGAGAGTCAATTATAAATGCCTTGGGTGGAGAGAGCGAAGTTATATTTACTGTTCAGGAGCAAACAAGGGGCCATCTCAGCATTTGCTCAAAGAACCAGGGAAACTGAACAAAACCTGATCGAGATGGGGTCATTGGCCTAGAAATACAATACTGTTACAGTTAGATTAAAGATATTATAACAGTAGATAAATTACTCTAATAATTAACATTTCAATATGATATTTTAATGCTACTACTTATAATAATTGCATTAATATAATAATTAAATTAATAAAAATAATTACATTAATAATACATATCAATTATGTTTTGGCAACTACATCATAATTTAACAATAGTAGTACATTCTATATTATAAACTTGAAATGGTGAGGAGGCAAGTTTTGACAATTTTTTTTCTCTTCTATTCTCCTTCTATTTCACAGGATGTGATATGCAATTCTTTTTCTTTGCTCAGCTTGAAACTGTTCACATGAAACAGAAAGTCTAACGGAATAAGAAATTCTTATTTATTTTATATTTTTAAGGGAAATGTAATTTGAAAATTCCTTTACACTGTAGAACATGTTGTTAAGCAGGAAAAACTTTCAATTTACTTTTAAATGTATGAATTGGTGTTTATGTCTTTGATATCATTGCGTAGTTTGTTGTAAAGTATAATGCCTCTATTAGGGTATTTTTTGATAAAAGTGTAGTTTCAGAGTGGGGAACGTGTAGGTTAACCTTTGACAGGTGTTTGTAGTTATGGACATCAGAATTAAAGTAAAAGTGTCTTTGTTTTCCATGAGATTTTCTTTGTGAAGACCATTATTTCAAATCTGTACATAATTTACTAGGCTGGCCGGGGGGCGTAATGCCTGAGGAAGGTCGCAGAATGGCGACCGAAAGTCGCACCTTCGCAATGGACGCGGCGTCACCGGGACAGCCTAGTAAATACTGACTCCGGCCGCGGAAGCCTACGCTCTCAAATATGTACATGCATGGTAGAGGAAGAATCCTTAGTTTATTAAACAGGGTTTGCAAGACTTCAGCTTATGAGAGCTAGTCATTGTTCGCAGTATTCTTTTTTGGA